AAGCTACAGACAAGCTCAAGGAATAACTACCCCACTATTCGGAAAACCCTTAAACTGTGGATGGAGGATGCTAATGAGCAGGTACGACATTTCAGAAACAACTTTGAAGATAAAACATGTGAACTTTTGTGGCTTTGAAAGGGACTAAGACTGTGTTTTTTCCCCCCTCAGAACCCCAATGACATTTCCTATGTGTATAGCGGCTACGCTCCATTGAGCATCCGACTGACCCAGGTACTGGCCAGGCCCGGGTGGCGTAGCATTGAAGAAGTTCTTAAGATACTTCCCGGTCCGCACTTTGAGGAGAGACAACAGCTGCCAGCTGGTCTTCATAAGAAACGTAAGGACTATGACAAACTGCTGTTTGCCCTGCTGCTGCCTGAACAGAACAAAAGTAAATAACCTCCTGCCTGCTGCTTGCAGATAAGACACAGGCTTTGTTTCCGATAAGTCAAATGCACAACAGCAGCAGATTGATGGCACCGATGCTGACAACACCACAGAGCCACTGTCAGTGTTTGTTTGTCTGTTTCATCTGTGTTCAAGTGGAGGCTTGATTAGAAACACACTATGCTCGATGTGACAGTGACCATCATCCTGCAGCTTTCCCTCATCTTTTCATATTGGCTGTAGTAGGTGTTACACTGATGTGAATAAAGAATTTAATCATACACTCAATATGAAATGTGCTAATTAGAAATGAGTTTGGGCATTAGACAGTTGACTTGTTACTACACGCCTGCCTAACAATGGATTGTAAAAGGTGATAATGGAGGAGTGTAGGCTCGGGGGAGGGTGACTGCTCAATCAGTGTTTTCACTGCTCTGTATTGTGGCCCTGTTTTATATTCAGTTGTGTTTCGTTGAAGTGAGCAATGGCAGAAACTTGATGGATTTACTGTGTCAGAAACACAGGAATATTTTTATTAAATCTGTCAGGCTCACAATTTCTGCTTTTATTTGGTTTAACTTTGGCATTTTGTTTGACTGACATGCGTTTTCTCCTTTTATTGCCGTACAGGCCAGCAGGGGGAGAATAGGACAACGCTGGTGTTCTTCCTCGGCGGAGTGACGTATGCAGAAATAGCCGCTCTGCGTTTCCTCTCTCAAATGGAAGACAGCGGGATGGAATACATTATAGCTACCACAAAACTGTTAAATGGTACGACTTGGATCAAGTCCCTCATGGATCGGCCTGAATCTCAGAGCCCCTGAGTCACCTGCATGTACACCTGGCCACATCAAACACCCGATCCATCAGAAAACTCTCAGCTCTCTAGCTTTTTATCTCTGTATCAGTGCACTGCAGGTGTTTCACTGATGTCTGCTGAATCAACAACCACTTGCTCTTTAAAGGTGCCCTGTGGAGTTATGTTTACATTCAGTGTTACTGACTAAAATGCATCGTTTGTTTAATCCTGGTAAACATGCTGAATGCTTTTCCTTCCTGTGCATCGTTTTTTTTTCTACCATCTTAAATCTTTCCATGTTCCACAAATGTCTCTTGCTTTACTTAATAGGTCCTTTACCCAGCTTCTTTGTTTGTTAACACCACCGACTGTTAATCAGTGGAATAAACTGAAATCAACAGCTGGAATGTGTATTTTGTCTTCTGCAATCTCACGCATGTCCATGATACAAGCAAACTGTAGACTTTAAAATTGTAAACACATTGTTCCATCACACATTTACTGGACACAAACTCCACAGGGTACCATTATTCTTTTTACTAGTTCCTTATTTGCAGTCAGATAAAATGCAATTTAAAGCTGGTTTAGCACTATTGTCTTCTGGTTATCTTCTATGGAGCTACTGTATATATGTATGTATGATTAAAATCTCATGTACAAAATGATGAAAGTTGCTATTTGATTTGTGTTTTTGAAGGCTTTTGATAGTAGCCGGGATAAAAAGAGGTAAATTAAGAACTAAATTTACTCTTGTGTTTCTTGGTTATGCAGTGAGCCATTACTGTTTGGTAGATAATTTTTGTAAAGGCAGTCTGTGATGAGTGAGAGCAGAGGAAAGGCAGAGATTGGAGTGTATCCATCAGCAGTGGTCCAGCTCTCTGAAAGAGCAATTAGCGCAGTAACAGGCCTCCTGATCAGCCGATAATGGCCCTGTGCCGTCTGGAGAGCTCAGCCCACAGCAGCCCATGATTTGACAGTGCAGGACACTGATTGAATTAGGAGGCCATTTGCTCTGTGTTCCGGTCGAGGATAACTGTGGTGCATGAGGGTGTTTGATCTCTGTTTCAGTCAATACCGTCTCCGTGCCTTGCACTATGAACATCGGGAGGACCTGCTGACTGCACTCAGATATTTTTGGAGAACTCTGCTTTGGTAAATCTATGTTAATTTGCTCCATTTTTTGATTGTCTGAAATACAAATACTCTAATCTGTAAACATAGCTCAATGGCCAAAATGAGCACAATACAGTTTATCTCTTTGTGGAGCAGGTGCACTGAAGACTAAAACTCCCATTAGATCTCTCCCAGGAGATTCAGATCCTTGTGATCAGTTATTGCATTTGGCTCCTCCTCTGTCATAAGGGCTTGAAACACGCAAGGCAGCACACACCAACTTGGACTTCAGGGCTGGAAGCACAGGAGCCCACTTTCTGACCAGCTCCTGCCCTGCTCCAATACCACCAAGGTATACCAGGTATTTATCTTGTTTGTTCTTCACAGTGGTTTAAGTTTTATTTGTCTTTTAAACCTTTACCAAGATATTTATTCTACAATGTTGTGTATTTATATCAAAATAATATATTCTGACTCCTCTAACATGGTTCATATTTAAACTTCACTTTAACTCCTGTTGCCTGACGAATAAATACTTTGTACAATACTTAAAATTAACATGTTTAGTGTTATTGAGCAAGTTGCATATCCTGCAGCTTCAGCATGTTTCCCTGAAAATGGTTTGAGACATCCTAAAATGTGGATGCTGAAGATGTTCCACAGTTTATATTGTTTGATCAATACTGCACCCACTTACTGTAATTTACAGATAAATTATTAACAGTGCTCTTGTGAAAACGCAGCCTCTTCAGCTCCTACAAGGAAAAGGACAAATCACTTTGCACATCTAACACAGATCAACACACTAAATAATACATAGGACTGCAAATACTGTATTGCAGGGGGAGCAAGAATCAAAATGTTAAAAATGTTGCAATTTCTATTAATGACTCGCTTTTTTATATATATATTTTTTTATTGTAAGAGTAAGTAGTAGAAAAGTTTATAAACTTTCACATGGGCTGCCTTGGTGGACATGACATTGTTACCTATTGTATTTGTGTTTGCAGAATGGGCCGAGGTGAGAAAATGGGACACCTGACTCAACCTGGTCGCAGGCAGAAGACGCAGCAGCTGGATCTGGACGTGGATCCCTTGTTCATACGCTTCCTCCGGACTTTCAAAGAAATCCTCAAATTTGTTCTCTTTAGCTACACGGTGCTGTTCGGTGCCTTGCTCCTTGCCAGATGGACCACTTATTTTGTGGTGGGGAAGTAAGAAAGGAGAAGTGACGAATGAGTCTCTTCTCACACTCAGAGTTCATTGATGAAGTTGATCAGGCAGACCTTCTTGGGATTTGTGGCCTATGCAGTTCCTTTGAATTATTAATGCCTCCATACTCGGCTTGAGCAGTCATGACTTTTTGGTTTTGTGAATCACTCTCTGCGTTAGATCTCACAGCTTTTGTGCATTGTTTCTTTTATTTTCCAAACAGTAGGTCACAGAGCAACTTTACTGTGACACTCATTTGCATCAGCTTTGTTTGTTGACAGTGTGTTTGACCGCATTGTGCAAGTGTGCAAGCTAAAAACTGTGATATCTGCTGAGCTGCAAAATGAACACAGTGAAGCTATACAGTATGTGTGTGTATCATCATGTGGCATACAAAAGCAGGAGCCAATTGTGTATTTTTGATGATCAAAGCTTTGAAACATTTTTTTCTTGGGAAGCACATTTAAAGTTTGACAAATGTAAGACATATCAGCAGTCATGTTATCAGTGGGTATGCTTTCTGCCATGCTTATTTCTCGCCAATGAATTTGTCTGCCTTTCTGACAGAATCTTGTATATGAATGTAATGGGTCACTAGTGTTATTACGGTAAAAGTCACATTATTATTTCTTTTAATGTAAAAACGGATTTGTGCTCCTGCAAGGTTGAGGTTTTAAACTATTCTTTCTGGGCAGAAAATGACAAACACTTAAAACATTTAACAAATGTGAGCTAGAACAGTCATGTGTTATATATCTTGTGACTGTGCTTGCACAATGCATATTACATATAGTGACATATATTGAACTTTTGATATATTGTTTTTGAAGAAAATTACATTGTTTTATTGCCCAGCCCTAACCATCAGGCCACATCTGCATTATCATCCAATCTTGAGGCCCTGTCTTGCACAGTTTAAAAGTTTTAAGGCCTTAGTGACATTGTTGCACAGACAGGATGTACAAGGGCGTGTGAATGTAATAGAGTGATTTATGTAAGTGAATCAGGATGAAAGGAGTGAAGTATAAAAACGTCTGCAGTAAAAAACAAAGGCCTATAGGGGCCCACCAGTATTTTGCTCTGGGGCTGTTTGTGGATAAATGAGAGCAGATGGGAGCAGTTAGTTTGTTCAGTAGCTCTTCACATCTATTAACTGAGGTTGACTTATTCAGACTGGTATTTAAATTAAACTGATGTCTGGCAGTTGACGCCAGAAGTGCCTTTATGTTCTGTTCATTGTCAGAACAGTGAATCTGGATGTTACTAATACCTGAGGCCTAATGAAAAGCAAACAAGCAATTTTGTTTTGTTTTTGTCAAAGAAATCAATCGATGATGTTGAACGTTATTTGAAATAGTATAAATCGAATTGTGTTACATATGATGTAGATTTAAATTAAAGAGAAATTAAACTGTATTTAATCTAGTTCCGTTTTCTGACTTCACTTTTGCTGAATTCACACTGTGTGCGCGGATGAGTTCGATTCACGTCGCAGGCACAACGCACACGGGCGGAGTTCGAGCTATTGAATGTTTTTCTTAAATAGGTCCTTAAGGTTTTTTCACTGAGGTTGAAACGTCCTATAAATCCATGGACCCGGGGTTTTTCAGTGACGGTAAAAACTCCCGTGTTGTTGACGGTTTGAGAGCCAGCCGGGTTCAAATGTCCCGGTGCTCCCTCACCTCCGCTCCCTCACGGTGAAAGATCTTGAGCGCCGCCCGAGTTGCGCCATTTTGAAAGTGTAAACGCAGGGAGAGGCAGACGCGAGGGAATCTCAAAGTAGAGAGCAAAGTCTGAAAGCCACTGCTCGGGTTCGTACTTTGGTTTCCTCGGTTGGAAACTGTTTCGGGACATCTGTGTCGACCGGGCCGAGGACTTGTGCGGTGAGCGGAGTTCCGAGCAGCACTTCCCCGCTTCATTCGTCCGCTGCTCCTCGGTCAGAACCGCCCAACCGACCCGGGTCAGCGGCACTGCTCTGCTCCAAGTCCAGGGCCCGAGCCCGCTACGGAGACCCCCTCTGTCCGAGCCATGGCAGGTAAAGCTCCAGACTCGAGACGGTGATATTGTCCGAGGTGTCGCTGTGATTCTGCTGTGTCCGTCCCGTCACGCACAGATGCTGGGTTTGTCTACTGTGTTGTGGTTAACCAGCGCAGGCTAACTAACAAGCTAGGATACTTCCAAGATGCTAGTGTGCGTGTGCGTGTGTGTGAGTGAGTCACTGACAGCGTGAAAGTAAATGTTTTCTACAGCAAACAAGTTTAAAGTATCTCACTGACGAGGCAGTTCCTACACCGGTTATAATATGTGATCAGTAAAGAGTTACACACTTCCTTGTTCTCTTATCATAAGTCTTAAATTACTTTTTTTATAGCTTAGTTAGCACCGAGCTAACGCGTGTGAAGTTGTCCCAAACGGTGTTGTTGTGTTGAAACGTGTGTTATTGTGTTGTGCAGGGGCCGGTGGTGGGAACAGTGATGTGCAGTGGTGCTTCTCTCAAGTCAAAGGAGCGATAGATGATGATGTCGCAGAAGGTAAGTCCATGTGGTGGTCACTGAACTGAAGAGCTGCCACAATGACTGTCCCTTCCATCCATCCTGTGCACGCCTCTGTTAGCTTTAATGCTCAAGTGTTTGAGGTATTTATACATATGAAAAGCTGTATGACAGCTATTTTTGAGCACCAGTCTGTCTGCACTGAAGTAAAAGGGTCAGTGGTGTATGGCACTTGCAGATAGTCCGGTTATAGACTGGTAAAACTTTCTATTTTTGACATAATTGCTGCAAACTGTCAACAGCCAGTACTTTTATAATCCCCTAGTTTATATTAGTCTAGTGTGTGTTATATGATGCTTGCACGCTTGAGAGTGCAATGCAGATTAGAATTGAAAAGTCACAGGTTTTAAACTCTGCAGGACATTTAGCTATTTAGAAAGTTCAAAAAGTAATTTGGTTGACGAATCATTTTGCTTGACTTCTACTTGAGATTTGCTTCAGAGTGCATGAATGCCCTACAGTTAAAGGGTCTGATCGGCCACGTCAAAAGGAAAACTTTCCCTACTTGGAGCAAAGTGTCCTTACAGAATGTTTTCATTGACCTAGCTCCTTCCTTAGATGTCGATCAATAGTGGATTTTGGATTTGACGAATTACAACCCAGTTTGGGGGCGGCTTAAAGAGGTTGTTGAGATTATTAACAGGAGTTCATATCCACACAGATATTTTGAGCTTGAGCTGAAGTGATCCTCAAGCTTGCACTTATAGCTTGAGGATCAAGCCTTGACCAGTCCATACAAAACAGTGACTGATGCTTTTGACAGAGCAGACATTATCTAAAGGATTGATAATGCCACACTATGACCACCAACCTTACCATGCTCATAATTTTCTAATGAAGTAGAAGTGTATTTTCACAATCTAGTTGATTTAGCTTCTTATATGTATACTCATTGTAGTTTTTGTATCTATATGAACATGAAGACCAGAGATGAAAAGTAACTAATCACCCTTTATTCCATTGTCCAATTAGTAAATTCACAAATGCCAAATACACCTATGTTTACAGTTCATGATGACTGCACACTTGTTTACTGTAAGCTTTGCATGAGAACAAATATATAAATGTGAGCCTCTCCTTGTGTCAATAGTATACATAGCCGTATATAGGCTGAAAACACAACGGTAATGTTGTAGTTTTTATTTTACTTCCACTGAAATATTCTGCTTCACTTTTTGTTTTTATATGTGAGCTTGTGTGGAGTCAGGCTGTCCCAGGCACTTTCTGCTGTGTTACAGAGAGGAACAACACCATAGTCTATATTAAGGCTTGCTCTAGCTCAGAATAGTGCACGCCTGTAAACAGGGATTGATTGTTGTATTGTAGGATTTGATGAGAATGCTTGTCTTTGAGAGGCACTGAATAGCAGCAAAGATTGTTTTCCACCTCATCTTTAAAGGTTCAGTGTGTAGAATTAAGGGACATCTAGTGGTGAAGTTGCATGTTGCAGCTGAAAACCCCTCACCATACCCTCCCTTTTCAAACATGAAGGAGAACCTGTGGTAGCCTTCAGTCTTAAAAACTCAAAAGGTGTTTGGTTTGGACTACTGTAAAAAACATGACGGCCTCCGTAGGTATAAATATGAAGTATTTAAACTTAAAGGACCCAAATTTCTGTAAAGAAAACAGCAATTTGTACAATTTAGATAATTACACACTAGTGACAACATCACTAGGATAATGTTTTTTTCAATTTCTGCCAATAGATCCCTTTCACCTAAATCTTACACCCTGAACCTTTAAGTTTCATTGCACCACCACATAGTAGTGTGTGTGTGTGTGTGTATTTGAACAATACTGAACAACACTAATCAGTTGTGTTCTCACCATGGTTGACATTGTTTTCTCACCTCATAGGTTTTCAAAACAGCAGTAAACATACAATATTGATAATTCTGCTGAAGGAATATCAGGTATCATTGGGAGGAAGTTCAACCGGATTACTGTTAATCAGTGCGAAAATATTTTTCACTTAAAATTAGGGTGCTGCTAAGATAAAGATGATATTCTAATTTCACAACTTTATTGACAGCTGACATAATTTCTACGGTTGAATTCAACCACTCTGGGGAGCTGCTAGCCACTGGGGACAAGGGGGGTCGTGTTGTCATCTTTCAGCAGGAGCCAGAGGTAAGTGTTGGTCACTCATCTGATTAAAGTGAAGATGTGATCTTTTTTTTATTCACATCAGATTATTCATACTTTGGTCACATAGGCTGCACGTTTTATTAAATTCAGAATTTAAGGTGAAATGCTGGTTCCTGCTGTCAGTAAAGGTCTTGAACTCTTTTTCTGCTGTCTGTTTTTCTTTTTTAGAGTAAGAATCAGCCACATTGCCGAGGAGAGTACAATGTTTACAGCACCTTCCAGAGCCATGAGCCTGAGTTTGACTACCTGAAAAGCCTTGAGATTGAGGAGAAGATCAACAAGATTCGATGGCTGCCTCAGAAAAACGCTGCACAGTTCCTTTTGTCTACAAATGGTGATTAAACCACCGGCAAACTGATTCACTTAAATAAGAATGAATTGGTGATAAGTAGCTATTTTTAAACTGCAATCATTCCGTCTGGCTGCTGTAGACCTCGTTTGGCATCAAGTAATCACACAGTTTTTTATGTTATCTAAGATAATATTTTATGATCTCTGCTCTTTGTCATTGGCAGACAAAACCATAAAGCTGTGGAAAATTAGTGAGCGTGACAAGAGACCAGAGGGCTACAATCTGAAGGAAGAAGATGGCCGATACAGAGATCCCAACACTGTCACAACACTACGGGTGTGTATAATTTACACTGTCTTAATAATATTGGAACATTTACTTTATAATGATATAATGATTTATAATTATTAGATACAGCTGAGGTTCTTTACTTGCTTCCCATCCATTCCTTAAAGCAGTAAAGCAAAGTAGTGAATTAAAACTGATGATTTGCTTGGTTGCAAACTTCATGAAAATCCAGTCATTGCAGTATTATCTGTCAATTTGGTGATTCATGCTGACGCCCAACCATCATTGCTACATGTCTTATTAAACAAAGCACAGGTGTTACTAATACTGCCTATGAATGGAAATTGAGAGCTTGTGGTTATAATGTGGGAAGTCCTGTACCAGGTGTGCTTTGTGCTCAAGCCGTTAAAGGTTCAGTGTGTAGAATTTAGTGAGATCTAGAGATTAACTTTCATGTCGAAGCTGAATACTCCTCATCTCACCCTCCCTTTCCCAACATGAAAGAGAACCTGTGGTGAACTTCAGTTGTCATGAAAACTCAAAAGGTTTGAGTTTGGCCAGTTTGGCCGACAGTAAAAAAAAAAACACAAAGAGGACCCCCTCCATGTAAATAAAGTTTTTAAATATAAACGGCCCATTCTATGGTAAAGAAAACAACAATTCATACAATTTAGATTAAACACACCAGTGAAAACATCACTAGGATTATTTTATATTCAATTTCTGCCAAAAATCCCTTTCACCTAAACACACTGAACCTTTAAGTCAGGACAAATTGCAAATCAGTTCTCTCTATTCTGAGATTGTGAATATGGAGCCTTCTGTTGAAATATGGTAAACATAATAACATTAACAATCCATTCATGGTGCTCGGGAGACACAATGAGATAGAGCCCTCATTTTCAATAGTGCCAAGGTACAGCAATACAACAATACAACTTCCCGCTAATGAAACATACAAACACATTTAATGATGATCCTAACCCTGCTCCTCTCCTTAGGTACCAGTGTTCAGGCCCATGGACTTGATGGTGGAAGCCAGCCCTAGAAGAGTGTTTGCGAATGCTCACACTTACCATATCAACTCAATCTCAGTCAACAGTGATTGTGAGACCTACCTGTCTGCCGATGACCTGCGCGTTAACCTCTGGCATCTGGAGATCACAGATCGCAGCTTTAGTATCCTTTTGTTGTTTAATTGTATGCTAAATCATCTTTTACAGATTGCAACATCATTTTTCATTATTATTCATGCAGACTTTAATAATCTTGAATATGGGAGAATGTTGTGGGGATAATGCAGCCCCTCAGGACAATACAAAGAATTTCCATGTTTTCGATTATTTGGCATTCTAGTTTCTAAACAGTAACCTCTTATCTGGAAATGTTCATTTGTAATTTCGGTATAAGTTGACTAAGAAAAAAATGATTTCAAGAGAACATAAATATCTGACTCCCTGTCTGAAACTCACTGCATATTAGGACACCTTTTCTGACCCATGTCAGTAAATTCATCATCAATTCATTCATCAGTTTTATTATATAGACCATGCGAGCAATGATCCAAAATATATTAATTGATGTGATATTTGATGTTACCACCAGATGTCCCCAAAGTGAAGGTTTTCTACTTAATGTAGTAAGGTTATGATGGCAGGCTGTGTGTACTAGCCCAGTAACAAAACCTTTTTCTTTGATTCATATTTTGGAAGTATTTCTTTAATTTGGGTGGATGTCTGTTGAGCCTCTGGACCTTAACCTCACTTCTTCAGATATTGTTGACATTAAACCAGCCAATATGGAGGAGTTAACAGAGGTGATCACAGCTGCAGAGTTTCACCCCAACCAATGCAACACTTTTGTCTACAGCAGCAGCAAAGGCACCATTCGCATGTGCGACATGAGGGCATCAGCCCTGTGTGACAACCACGCCAAAAGTAAGCCAATTTATATTATGCTGTGTGCCTGCAGGGGAGCAGCTGTACTCTGAGGTGTGTGCTGAACGAAAATGAATGACAGTTTTAAACAACAGTTTAAATGTCTTAAAGGTACAGTGTGTAGAATTTTGTGATATCTAGTGTTAAAATTGCATGTTGCAGCTGAACACCCCTCACCTCACACTTTCCTTCCAAACATTAAAAAGAACCTGTGGTAGCCTTTAATTGTCATAAAAACTCAATAGGTGTTTAGTTTGTTCAGTCTGGACTAATGTGAAAAACATGGCGGCCTCCGTAGAGAGGGTCTCCTCGATGTAAATATAAAGTATTTAAATATAAAGGGTCTTTTCTGGGGTAAAGAAAACTACAATTCATACAATTTAGATGAAACGAACTAGTGAAAACATCATGAGAATTATTCTACATTAAATTTCTGCCAATAGTTCCCTTTCACCTAAATCTTACACACTGGACCTTTAAGTTCTCTCTTAAAAGTAGAAAGACTGTGCTTTAATGCATATACAGTGCCTAAAAGTCCTTGATCAACTAGCCACTGTTGTCAGAGCAGTTTTTCTAAACATCACAGTGGTCTTCTGGTTTTCTTCCAGGCTTTTGCAGTAGAGGCCCCAAACTCTGGATTTACTTACACAGACAAGCCACATCTAAAGCTGCTTTTAAATCCCTTATTAAAACCTATTTTTTTTACTTTAATTTCTGTCAGAGTTTTAATTTATTTAATATAATCATCATTTTAACCTAATGTTATCCTTTGGTAAGGGTAGAGGGAGGCATGGAAAATTTGTGCACAAAGAGTGCTTCTGAAATGTACAACTTGAGTTGCAGCACAATTAACAAATACAGTTAATTATAAGAATGATGGTGTGCTAGTGCTCTGTTATCACTGTTCAATTCGATAAAAAAAGCTGGCTTGTAGAAACATGTGTATTATGGTGGCGGACAGTGCATCTTCACTATGATGCTGCATTAAATTCTGCACAGCTTTTAGAAAAAACTGTAGTCTGTAATTGTATTTAGTAGAATTCAGGATAAAATAATGTCTACATCCCTTTCTTTTTTTTAAGTATTTGAAGAGCCAGAGGATCCAAACAATCGCTCCTTCTTTTCTGAAATCATCTCATCCATCTCTGATGTAAAGTTCAGCCACAGTGGACGCTATATGATGACCCGAGACTACCTATCTGTCAAAATCTGGGATCTCAACATGGAGACCCGACCAGTAGAGACATATCAGGTGTGTAATGCTGCAATGCCAAGACAAAAGATGTGTTTACTGTTTCTCCACAAGAGGGAAGTGTTTCACTGAAGTCCTAATGTCAATATGCAGGTGTCGGCTAATGTTATTTTACTCTGTTCTTCACTTTCCTTAAACAGGTGCATGAATATCTCAGGAGTAAGTTGTGTTCACTCTATGAGAACGACTGCATCTTCGACAAGTTTGAGTGCTGCTGGAACGGGAACGACAGGTGAGCAACCTTTTTTTCTTAGACTGATCTATCTCCACATCACTGTCAGTGCAGGAGAATGCTCTGGTGGCACCCATTATCATTAAAAAGCAAAATGCTTTGGCTTCTTTTGTATTTCTTTAAATCAATTACTGTTTTCTTGGACAGGTCCCTTCCTAAATGCTGTAATTTCGTTTAGTGGAACATTTGCATGTGAATGAAGGTTTCAAATGACAAAATAGCAATTACAGATTTGTTTGCTGGTTGGAGATTGTTGTTGTTTAGAAGTGAATGGTATTTTGAAAAAGGTGACTGGCAGGAAGTTGAGAATGATGCAGCATAAGACACACTGTTAATGGCCTTTTACCAACAGTCTACATCTGGTGAGTCAGACTCACCTTCAGGAGAACAGATGTAGGAATTTAAATGGATTCGTCTTTGGTTTTAATGCACTATCTTTAGTTTTCCTCATACATTCAACATGTGTGATGCATGCCAATGTTTTGGGCTGACCCTTATTTGAAGCTGTACCCAGTGACACTGGTCTTATCACTTAATAAGGTTATCTGTCCCCTGCAGAGCATAAGGCTGCACAGAATGTGGTGTGGGTGGGGGAGTATTCTGTACATGTTCTGAATAGTGGTTCATAAATAATACTTTTGGCTTGTATCTCATTTTGCTTCATAATTATTATTTGGCTCACCATCAGTCATACCTTGTCTCTCTGCAGCGTTGTGATGACGGGTTCCTACAACAACTTCTTCAGGATGTTTGACAGAGGCTACCGTCAGGACGTAACCTTAGAGGCGTCACGGGAGAACAGCAAGCTGCGATCGGTCCTGAAACCCCGCAAAGTAAGCACAGGTGGGAAGCGCAAAAAGGATGAGATCAGTGTAGACAGTCTTGACTTTAACAAGAAGATCCTCCACACTGCCTGGCATCCTTTGGACAACATCATTGCTGTAGCCACCACCAACAATCTGTATATATTCCAGGAATAACTCGACTAGCATCTGTTGAACCGCTCAGATCCCAGTTTCTGCTTGAGCCCCACTGCTCTGATACACAGGCAAAACAAACATCAGTCTGTCCTTGACTAAATCCCCAAGTCTTGCTATGATCTGGCCCAAGTTATTTAAGTTTTGAACTATGTCAACAACAAACAGTGGCATTAACAGTACATCCCAGCTGACCACCATGTGTATTACATTAACGTAACATAAACATGCAGATCTGAGGCCAGACTTTGGGACTTGGTGTCAAGGGTTCCTCGACTAGAATCACTCCATTCACCAAGTTTCTGTTTGCAACTCCACTACATCCCAAACCAAAGGGAAAACGTGTCCCACTCACACATTTTTGGTTAGTTTGTTCCCTTATTCTTCTGTGCCATTGTGACATGAGTCATTTGTATGTCATAGCTACCAATTGTCGATTCGTTTTTGAAGCTGTCATGTTTTATTATTTTCAATAGGAAATTCTTCTGTTTATCTGTCACCATGCTCCTTTTCACACAGACCTGAAACACTGCTAATACAAGCTGTCAACACTCCATATCTGCCCCAAGTATTTGTCTTTTTGCCAAGTTCCTTCACCATTTCTTTCCTACTATTCAGTGTGGTTATGCTGTTAAAGGACTATTCAAGTTTTGATCATGTTTTAGCTCATTCTCTATAAATAATATACAACTTTGATACCTGCTAACCTCCATCTGCAATTACCAAATATTCAATACATCCAATTTTTAACTTCAGCCACAGGTTAATATTAATTTCTCTACAGTTAAAAAGACAATATACTTGAACCTCACTTACATAAACATTCCATCTCAGTGAGCTTCTTGTTCTGTCTGACCCTGTTCAGACCTGGTACTGACCTCTGGAGTGATCCGTTTGCGAGCAAGGAAACTCAGTGTGTGTTCAGACATACCATAACATCTGATAATGAAAGACAAGAATCTCCCTTTTTAATGCAGCAAACAATGAACTTCATTTAATCCCTTTAATGACACATATGTTTCTTAAAATGTGTCTCTTGGATGAGAGTTTCTGACACAACTGAGATGCTGGAGTGAATGTCCTGAACAGAATCAGGTTTTCAGAACATTCCCTGGTCTAAGTTGCATTAACAACATCTGACTGAACGCTCACTGAGAGGGATGGTCTATTCAAAATTGTTGACAGGAATGCATAAGTAATTTCATGAGCTGAAACATTTAAAGAGAAGTCTTATGTAGTCCTTTGATCATAGACACAAGATTGGTGTATGCTTGTCTGGAATTGTGTTTTTGGAAGTTGAACAGGGGCTGAGCATGCCAAAGTAACTAGTCCTTAACACTCTACAGTTAGAATCATATAAAACCCTCTTTTAGAAAAGGTGCCGCTTGTCAGACCGCACAACCCTCGCACACCTTCGCACATGTGTGGACCACCATTTAAGCTCAGGACAAAAGCTTATAAACGTGGCGTGCTGTGGCCTGATCTTCTTGTGGTTAGTGGCAACATCATTGAGCGCCGCATCAGCTTCCCCACAAAGAGCATGTGGACTGATCGCTTTACCCTCTGGATCTTGTTTCTGTTTGTAGAGTTGTTTTTTTTATGATGTTTTGTACCATACCTGATAAAAGAAGAATAACCACTATAGCTGATTTATTTTTGTATAAATGAAAGCAATAGGATTACAGTCTGATCACTGTAGTTTCTTTAGCTGTCTATCTCAGACTGATTGTAGATGGAAGGTCACTTGACAGTCAGGTGACCTTTTCGTATTGACTGTACGACTTTGGGAAGTTTTGTTCATTCTGGCAGGTATTTGTTTTGAAAGCGAGAGACTTTTTGTGACATGGGATGTCCAAAGAAAAGTATTTTCAGATGTCAGTATCTCTGTAGTCTCAAGCACAATAACAGTTTATTTTTTTAATTTGGTTGACTGTAACTGATGTTTGTGTAGAACCTATTTGGACTCTTCAGATTTAAATTCTGAGATGATTAAGATCTTAATGTTCTGTTTCTGTGCCATGGTTTTGTTTATGAATATTTTTTGCTTGCTGTGAAAAGAATGGGTCCTTGTGGGCCTAAGTGGAAAAGGCATTTTAATCAACATTTAATATTAAAACTGTTAAATCAAGCTCTCTCTAAAGCTAGTCAAGTCAATTGACTAGGCAGGGTTACTGATTTTGAAGTGTATAATGAAATGTCTTCTTGCTCCTGTGATGCAGGGGTAGTTCTCCTATACAAATGTGTTTATTTAAAAATAACAATTTGTCAAGCACTTAGTTTGTGGACGATTATTGTATAATTAACAACTGTACTGAGCAAATTAACTCTGTTGTTTCTCTCCTGCACTATTCTTTGGTCATATGCTGCCACTTTTCTTTGGAGCAACACTTTTCACTTCATTACAGTGATCGCTTAAGCCATTGAATCAGGGCATGAAGCTTATTGGTCCACTGGACCACAATTACGTGTCACTCCTACATCGGAGAACTGATTTCTAAAATAACCACCCATCTCCAAATGTAGTGTTAAGCTACTGTTGAGTCTCTCTCTCTCTCTCAGGGCTCTGGGTTATGTCCTCTGGTAATAAGACACTTAGCTTTTTTTAATTTTCTCTTGCTACCTTTTGAAAAACATTTCTTTATTTCTGATGCAAGATTGTGTAAGGGTGGTTCAAGTTATTTGCCTCATGTCGTATATGTAAAAACCTGTATAATGTGGCACCTTTGTCCCATTCCACAGTCAAAGGTAATTCAGTCAGTTCGTCAACAATCAAAAGCTTTGTCCTGTCATTCGTATAAATGAAGCATTTACTCACTCACTATTGAGTAATTATTGTTTTCAACATCTATTGTGAGAAATGTTTGAAAATGCAAAAATCTATACAGAGATATTACACAGATCACAATTGAGTTTTCTGTTTTTTAGTAAATATTCTCATTGGCTTTTCCAACGTCCCATCTTTACATACACAGCGAGAAAATAAACAAACCAATCTTTTTCACTATGTCTCCATAGCTTTTGTTCAATGCTACGGTATAAACCACCAAGACGTTCACAACAACCCTATTGCCTTTCCTATAGCATTAAGAAGAAATATAATCAATTATGTTTCTTGAACTTTCTGGCACACCAGACGGGAGACTGCTCAGGGGAATTTACTGCTGCTCCATGATCAAAACCTTCTACCTGCAAAGACGGCAGCTTCTCAGGAAAACTGCCTTACTCAGAGGTAGATCATGGTAGATGATACTTTTTATTTTACAACTAAGTTTCTATAATGGCTTTCGAACATGAACCTTGCCCTACATACAGTATAAAGGATCATAAAATCTCAAGGAAACTGTCTAAATTGGAGTAATGCATTTCTTTTTATATACATGTCTAATGTGTCACAAGAGCAAAATGCACTTTTATTTTTGTGAATTTCATTAATTTGTATTGTTTCTTTCTTTAATGGGGCTCTTGAATAAAGATTGTAGGAGAGCTTTGGTGATCTGTTTAAATGCTTCATTGTACAGCTTGGTTTGTCTTTGTCGAATGGAATAAAGAACAATTTAGATGAAAAGTGAAAGAATTTCCAACATGAATTCTGAACAAAATGAAAATGTTTCTCTGGTTTGTGTTTAGAACTTAATGTGAAATGATCAGATAAATACAAACTTTACCAACATTTGGTGTTTATCCCTCTGCGCTAGTGACAGCTGAGGCCAGACATGTGTTTTTTCATGTTGTCTGTCCCTCCCGTTCTTGTGAACAAGCTATTTCAAGAATGCCTTATGGGAATTTCTCCTGCATTTACTTGGACTTGAGGTTTTTGGTCGTAGCTCAGGAATGGACATGCTCTTTATGACCATTTAACACAACTCTCTGACAGAATGAAAGAGGTGAAATTTTATGTCCAAAAGGTTGATGGATGACTTCCATGTGACGTCTTAATGTTCTGCTAAATCACTTTTCTGGCCATAATTCAACATTGTGGTTCTTGAATTTAAAAACCATTTTTGAAATACGGTTAGGCTTATTTTGGACCTATCTCATCACCAAGGCAGCCAAAACATTTCCAAATCTCTGCAGAGGTGCCAGACAGTGCTGCTGTTAGTGAAATTATAGACTCAAAATTGCAAATCCCTTGTTACTGCTTGTTGCTCCAAGATATCCTGATCTCAAGAGAGGTACCCCTGATATGCATCAATCTAATAGTTCTATCTTGGTATAGGCCTGCAGATGTTTTATGTTTAGTCTGCATCTGTTCCACTTTGACCCAATTGGGTTCAACAGGGAAGAGGAAGAGGGTAACTCAGGTGGTCTTCTTCTGTTCAGCTGCTCTAAAATCATATATATATGTGATCTACTGCCTGTTATTCCACAATACTGTGAAAATACATCAGTTCATTTACCTAAATTAAGCTATTCATAATTCACTAGGACACTTTGATTGACCGTTTGGAGGTATGATATATCTGTGTGGAAACTCTACTCAGGGTTATGCATGCCTCCCTGTATTAACACCTGAGTGCAACCATGCAGTCTAGTGGATATATTTCAATCAATCAAACTTTATTTGCATAGCCCATATTCACAAATCACAAGTTATCTCATAGGGCTTAACAGGGTGCAACATCTGCTGCCCTGAACCCTCAACAAGAGTGAGGAGAAACTACCTAAAAACTATAAACTGGGAAAACCGTAGAAACCTCAGAGAGCCACAAGGGAAGAAGATTCTGCTTGTAACAGAACATCAACAAAACAACAGGATTTTCATTTATTTAGAAGAAACAGTTTGCAACATAATGGGAAAGTGTGTCAAGTACTTATACATAACAAAATGTCTGGAAGCAGCCATGACAAATGAATTGAGGAGTTCTTGTCAGTAACAGTAGAGGGTGTGAGTGACAGGGGACGACTGGGGTCAGCTTTATTATTGTCCTCAGTGCTCAAACCCTCCTCACACTCGGGTGACTCAGACAGAGACAGCAGCTCCCAGGTCCCTCACCCCAGCGGCACATCAGCTGATCAGGGCATGATGACAACACACTTACATCAGCCAGAACTTCCCGGAACAAACTGCAAAGTTTAACACAGTGGTACATTTTGCACCCGTGTATGTTTTAACCTTTATATGAAATAATAACTGACGGAAGACAACATCTGCACCGATGTTTGTTTTCTGGATCTATATTTTATCTGTGGTGCGGACTCTGGACTGACTCGGCGCATGCGCACTGTGCACGCTGCGTGTCCCGCAGCTGAGATGAACGCTCAGACTGGTGGAGTCAACATGTCCACCGCTGCTGCTCAGCGAAACAACAACGAGGAGCCCGGGCTCCACGGTACGTACCGCCTCCACGTGTCTCTCCGTGCTCCGTGCCACGGAGGACACGATGGAAGACATTCAAAAGTGTCTGTTTTTTATCACATCCGCGTATTTACGAGTTTATTGTGAAAGTTCCATCGCTTATGGAATTTCCTCTTCGCCTGGGAGGGGCGGAGGGTTGTTAAGCGTCACCTCAAGAGTCAGCCAATTGCGTGGTGATAAATGTTTGATCGAAGGCTCGGCGGCCAATCACGTACGCCAGACGGCCGTCGGGCGGGCTCTAGCCAAATGAAAACAAGTTTGGGACAAAAGACCAAATACATATTGTTTTTATTTATGGTTTTACTTCACATTTCAGGTTGTGGCTCTTCTGATGCTGACTCCTTGTGTGGTCGCGTTGTTTTTTATTCAGCTGCCGCCCAACTGTCTTTTATTTGAATGCTAGTTTTAAAGGGAGACAATGGTATCATGTTAGCATAACGTGCTAATAATACTAGCGCTTAAAAAATACATGAGAAACACCAAACTGATTGAAGGTGATTTTACGATCCACATTTTAAGGGTAGAAACAAACGCTCGCATAGAAATGTGTGTTGTGTATGTGACAATAACATCAGAGCTGGAACAGAACAGCGACGTGTCTGGACACATTGTGTCACACTGCTCTCCACAGTTATGCAAGAGCTCACATGAGAGCAGCACTGACTGCAAACTGTGTCTGTCTGTGCAGCCGATCACACAACATACAACATGATCGAGCTGCGTGGTTTGTATTCACGTACTCACTAAATCCTGCACAGAGGAAAAGGGAGATTTGAGCTGGGAGGCTGTTGTTTTGTGCTCAGATTACATAACTCATTTAGAAAAAAATGTGCAAGCTATTTGTGGGGCAGTGGCACAAAGAAATGCACACGGTCATGGATGCAGTGCACACCCAATGCACAGCGCCACTGGTGCAGGGAACGTACGGTCAGCAGTTTCCTTATGGATAGAGGACAGATGCATGCAGATGTTTCTGTGTGGGGCACAATCTGCTTTTTAGGTTTGCACTTTAACACAACAAACCAAATCTCCCTTTCTTCCTTCCTTCTCTCCTCTTGACCTTCGTGTTGCCAAGGCTCTTGGGTGGAGCTGGAGCTTAATGGGAACACGGGGACCCAGGCCGCGCAGGCCAACCTGCACACGACACCCATTGCTGACCAAATAAATGCAAACGCAGACACGAGCCAAACCCTTCAGACCTTGGACGTGGTGCCTGAGAATGATGAAAACCTCATCGGAGGATTAGAGCATGTGCCGTCATCCTCCTCCATCCACAATGGAGACATGGAAAAGATCCTCCTGGATGCACAGCACGAGTCGAGCCCAAGCAACTCTGCCTGTGATAGGTAGGAACAAAGGCCATTATATGCTATATGCATGGAGATAAAGTGCACGTGTTTTGTACTGTTCAAAAATGAGGTTTTGACTTTCTTCTGATGTGTTGACTCAGTCCTCACAGGCCTCAGAGTCCAGATCAGGATGAGGGTCAGATAATGTTTGATGTGGAGATGTCCAGCTCAAGAAGTAGTCAGGTCAAACACCATGATAAACTCACAAGTTTAAACCTTTTTCTTGTGTTTTCATTTCATGCGAAAAAACATATTGCTTTACCCTCTTTTTTGCAGTCAGAGGAAGATGGTTCAGAGAAGGACAGAGAGGAAGACATCCTAATGAATAAAGAAGTCGACTGGGTCGCTGATTGGTCCAGCCGACCAGAAAACATTCCACCAAAGTAAGTATACTCTCACTTCCAGTATCATACTGCTAATTGTCAGTCAGACTATCCTCTTTAGTTGTTTTCTGAAATGATTTTCAGCATTAATCGGTTGATTGATTTCTCCCCCACAGGGAGTTCCACTTCAGACATCCCAGACGTTCTGTATCACTCAGTATGAGAAAGAGCGGTGTCATGAAGAAAGGTGGCATCTTCTCAGCTGAAATCCTCAAAGTCTTCATCCCTTCTATACTCATCTCACACATCCTCGCTCTCGGCCTCGGGTAAGTCTAAATTAATTTAGCTCTGTCTTCACAGAACCCAAGGCTCAGCTTCGCAGTGGCTTGCAGTGGTTTGCCCCGACCCAGGCCTCATTTATAAAACAGGGAAAGTAGTGAAGAGCAGACTCCAGCAAATCAATGCCCTGAATGATTCACCTCTGACCTACTTGCTGAAAGTTAATGAGCAGAGTTTAGCTGCTTTCGTACATGCGCTGAAGTCATTTTCCTGAAATCTGTATGTGAGAACACAAATGTCTGAGTCCGTTGCAGTGGACATTTCTGGAAATTTTGCTGCTAGCCTCCTTATACAATGTCAGAGTGAGCCTATGTTAGCATACAGCAGGAAATTGTCTTTTTTAATGATGTTTCTGATGCACAACTGGAAGAATACGAGTGATAAAAAGGTGCCATAAATAAACAATTTTTTGGAGTACAGGTCTAAAAACAGCTAAGTAATCAGCGATTGAAGGAGGAGCTACTGTCACTAACAAGTTAGAACTGTTCTCTGAATTAACTTGTTTGATTCAGAGTAATGAGTTGGCCACGCATTTGAAAATGGGAATCTTATCATTTATTTATCAAACGTTCTCAAATCGTCACGTTTTTTCAGCTGCTTTATTTTCATGCTTTATGGATGTGTGTGTTTCTAGGGTTTACATCGGGAAGAGAATTGCCACAGCCTCCACCAGCTCGTACTAATGAGAGGATGAAGCAGTGCCTGTATGTTCTCCTGTCTCCAACCATCGTCCTGTGGTCAAGATGTCTCCCTGCACCTATTGTACACCCACACTTCCCCCATTAGTCTGCATTCTGTTCCATTGTAGTTGTGATAGAAGTATACACACGACGTTATGTGGTTGCACTCCAACATGTTTTGGCACAGAGCAACGTTGTACCCTAGCAGTCGTCACCAACTTGAATCCCGTAGATAACTGATGCTGTTAGAGCTGGAATATATTAGTCATCTTTTTCAACTCAAAAAGAGTACGAGTCAAGGATTTGATGTCGGACAGCTTCAGGGTTTTGTATTTTTATTTCTGAAATTTCCCCAATTGTTTTGATGTGATGTCACAAATAATCTGGCCTTGTCCTGAGCTGCACATCTCCTCTGGTGTCTCAGTGGGCAGAGTGAATGAACCAAAAGCATGCGCCATATCCAAATTGGCTCAGAAGGGGTCTTTTATTGTAGCCTTAACTTTTAATTATTTTTAACTTAACATTCAAGGTGCAGTTAACTGGGGGTGGGCAACAAATTATGCTTCACAGGTGGGATTTGTTTTTCAATTCCACAAATTTTTGAGCATGGAATTTGAATCACTTTGACTCCTGGGCATTTCTTTTAATGTTTTTTAAGGTTGGAAAGCTTCAACACTGGCTCCAAAATTAGACAGTGGAGTTGTTTGATTATATTATGATATTGGAACCAAGGGTACATGGCAGTTTACCAAGCCATTTGCTACATATCTTCTTTAAGACATAATATAGCAGCAATGGCAAAGTGCCAAATGAATAACTTTCACCACTGCACAAAGGTGATTTAAGACTGTTGTGTGATTTTTCTCATATGTTTTAAGTATTTAAAGATGTAGATGTGAAACATAATTTAAACTGTGATCTTCCCCATGTAATAGACGCCTTCTTGACATTGTCTAATTTCTATCTACGTTGATATGAATGCATATTATAGCTTATGCATTGTGGCAGTGTAAGTAACGTGTCCTTGCTGTCATTTAATTGCTGAAGTGTCAGTTGCAGAAACCACTGCAGAGGAAGTTGTTTGCAGGGGCCTCATGTAGGAGTGTGATACAACTTTAATCTAGTTTTCACTGTGCAATCATTTCACTTAGTATGACACAATGAACAGTGCAGATAGCGTGTTTAGAAAAATGACAGAAACAGATATGTGAAGCATTTCCTGAAGAAGATGCATGTGATTTCTGTATATTGATGCTGGTTGGAAGACTGGATGACTCTCCTGTCACTGTGGATTGATGACATCATAAGCGTACGACCATAATGTACAGTATACTAGTTGTAGTGGCAGTCTTGGTTTTCAAGCGCTCAACATGCATTTAGGCTTTAATGCATCATAAGACATACTAACTTATAGACTGTACATGTCATCATATCAGGCTTATGTACAGTTGATCGGTGTGCAATACATTTCAGAGTTGAATAAAGTTTGTACTGTAGTGGCTGAGGTATAAATACAAAGGAAGAGAAAACAGCTGCATAGAACTTGATGCATTATTGAAGCCATGATAACTAATAAAATGCACATATCATCATCATGGGTTTTCTTATATGTGATTAGTGACCTTATAACAGAATAATAAGTTTAAAGCAGAATGTGTTGGATTGTAGCATGTCCAGGTTTGTTCAGGATAAATCTCACAGGTTCCTGCCTCTCACTTTCTCCTCCCTGGTTACTTCAGGTATCACGCAGAGACAGTGTGTAAAAGGGCTTAACTCCCCTTCCAACTACTTATCAGTTCTTATCCTTCTAAAACTTAAGTTACTTACGTTTGTAGCCAACATATCTACAAGCACTCTGGACTCCTTTTGAATACAGGCAAGTTCCATCAAGACACATGCTCCTGTAAATTCAGTATGGGCCACTGGGCAGCTACACGGTAATGGATTCAGGTCTTTGCTCCCTTTTCAACAAAGGTTCAGTTGTCTTCATTGTTTTTAAGCAACAGATACCAGATGTCATACCTCTTCAAAGTATTTATTTTCTCTGTTAACAACTGTGAAAAAGAAGTGTAGTGTTGAAATTGAATGTCGCAGCTGAATACCCGTCACCTTACCCTCTGCTTCCAAACATGAAAAAGAACCTGTGGTAGACTTCAGTTGTCATAAAAACTCAAAAAGGTGTTTAGTTTGTCCTGTCTGGACTAATGAAAAAACATGTAAATATAAAGTATTTTAATATAAAGGGCCTTTTCTGGGGTAAAGAAAAGTACAATTCATACAATTTAGATGAAACAAACTAGTGAAAACATCCTGAGGATTATTCTGTTCCCTTTCACCTGAGTCTTACACACTGGACCTTTAACTACACACCTTTTCATATATTTTGACTATTGTACCTCGTTCAAGCAATTTCTTCAAGTAATTGTTGCAGTGGTCAGGATTTTATTGTTGCAGTGGTCAGGATGTAATTGTTGCAGTGATCAGGATGTAATTGTCATCAGGATGTAATTGTTGCAGTGGTCAGGATGTAATTGTCATT